GGATTTACAGATTTCTAAAGATGGTCCTTCTCCAAGAATTCTACTCCTAGCTACTCAACCAAACAGTAATGCAGGTACTACTGAGAAAAGAGTTGGAAGGGTGTGAAGTTCCAGTTCAGTTAACCTTGAGATACGGAGAACATCTGGGTCAGCCTAATCTAATCAGGTGAGACTTTTGAAAGCAGGTCATTTCCTCTGATGGGTGGCGGAACTGGACAAAAAATGCTTGAACCATGAAGGGAATTCAGGGCATGAGAAGTGATCTTGCCAGGAAGAAAGCTAACAGCTACATTGTGAACTTCTAATCTAGAAGACTTGAGTCCTATAGTTGAAAGAAATTAATTCTACCAATCACTAGTGAACTTTGAAGGGAACACGGAGCCTCAGATGAGAATCACAGCACCAGCCAACTTCTATGACTTCAAGCCTGGGAGGTCAGCAGTAACAGAGTACCCACCCTCCTACCCCATAAAACCATGAGTTAAATAGGGATTATCTAAAGTCACTGAGATTATGGCAATTTGTTTCAACAAAAAATAGAAAACTAACATGGAGAACACCACAGTTCCACAGCGAGATTCCTGGTACTGGATGCTTGGGTAGTTTAGCCCTGTGCTGTGTCATTTCACTTCTCATGCAGTCTCCTAGAAGCAAGACAGCTAGGTTAAAAGGCAAATAAATACATTTTTTATTTTCCTTTGTTGAGGTCAAGCATCCCTACTCTAGAAATCCAAAGTCTGAAATGCTCCAAAATCTACAATTTTTTTGAGCACTGACATGATACTACAAGGGAAACAGTTATCTTGCCACACTTGACTCATGTGCCTGGTCACAGCCAAAATGCAGGCACACTAACAATACTGTATAAAATTACCTTCAGTCAACATGTATAAAATGCACAGGAAACAAATGAATTTCATGTTCAGACTTGGGTCCTATCCCCAAGGTATCTCATTATGTATATGCAAAAATCCTCCCCCGAAAAAAGTGCTTCTCGTCCCAAGAATTTCAGATAAGGGATATTCAACTAATATTTCTAAATTCTTCTTCAGAATAGTTATACTATTGTGCATCTTTTACACTGGCAGTGTAAAAGAGTGCCAGTTTCCAGAGCCTTGCCAAGAGAATACATTGTCAAATACTGCCAATGCATTAAGTGATAAATGGTATCTTAGTGTAGTTTTAACAATGGGCATTTCAATTAAAATGAAGCAGATTTAGCATTTACTCATAAGTTTAAGGGTCATCTGCTTTCCTTTTTCCATTAACTGGCTGTTCATGGACTCTTGTCTATTCCTGTCCAATCCTTTTCTATTTACTTTGGGTTTCTGTGCTCCATGTCACAGGTCTCCCTCAAATATCTGGTGATTTTTTTTTTTTTAATGACACTGAAGTGTGGCTGGAAGTTTGTACATAGAAATAGGGCTTATGACAGATGGCCTCCAGTGTAGGACAAAATTCCACTGGCTGTAGTAGGGAACACTCAAATGTCAGCCATTGTGGGGCTTTTATCAGAACCCCAAGTGCTTCCCCAAGATGATGCTCCAAACTCTGGACAACAGTAGGTAAGTCAAGCTGCAAGCAGTCCGAGTTTGAATGGGAAGGTAGCTAAGGCCCTCCCAGAGTAAGTTTACTTTCATATTGTCATCTGCTCTTCCACAAGCTCCTCATCCCCTCTTAGCCACACTATGCAGAACACCTCTCAAGAGCCCTGCTACAGTGGGAGAGGAGAAGTCTCCTAGATGCTCTGTGTAGGAGGAGAGCTATGGCTCAAATCTCCATAGCAATTTCTCACTCACGCTTTCAAAGTACCTGGTAATCCCATCTCATTACCATTCCAGAATATTATCAGGTAGTAATCATGTCTAATATTGTCCTCATCCCTTGCAGAGAATAAGATATTTTAGCATTCTCCTTCCCCTAAATGAGCAAAGATTTATCCATCAGCTTTCCAGCATCCAAAATGCAAAGTTACACGGAAACAACACTCATCCACTTTTAGTCATCTTTCCCTCTGCCATTGTTGTTTTATGCGTTTTTAACTTCTTTACTCTCATTCACACACAGAAGACAGAAAGTTGAACCCAAAGATGACTGCTAAAACTACCTTGATTAGAAATCATCCGCCATCTGTTCCTCTCCTCCTGGAATTCCTGGCGCTTCGAGTGTGAGGCCTCCTGGACCCACACTCCATCTTCCTTATTGTTTTCACATGGATTTTCCATGTCTTTGTCATTGGCTCAATACAGTTCAACGTGTTCTTTCATATGGACTTTCAAAGCCGCAATGACATCCCCAGCAGAGACCATTGTCTCTCAGTTCTTTTGTTGATTTTCCAAAAAACCTGCCTCCCCATAGTGTTTTCATTAATTGTTACAATTCTTTTCTGTCTCTTTCATTAGTTCTGCCACAGTAAGAGCTGCCTGGTCTTCCTGTTCTTTCTTCAAGAACTACCTCTTGCAAAACTGCCTGGAGCAAACCTTGACCTACTAATTTTTCCCCTATTCAGTACCAGTTGAGGACAGGTGAGCCAATGCAGGTGAGGAAAGGGAAGCAGGTAAGGTCATCTTCCCAGAGCCTCCCAGTCTGGGGCAGGCTGGCCCCGCCTATTCTTTCAGCCCTACTCCAAATGTCCTGGACACTTCTGGGATAGGAATAGGACTACAGACCCCAATCATCACACACAAAGCATCTGCATTTAGGACCCTGCAGAAGCTCCAAGGTCAATATCCACCTTCAGAGACCCAAGAAGAGGCATGTCATCTCTGCCACACAGTGCAGGAAGAATGCAGCCCACCTCGTCTCACCTGTGAGATCCGCTCTCCACACTTTCCCTGCTGGCTCTGTTGCTCCAGAGAATCAACATGGAGTCAGTCAGGATGTGCCTTCAGGCCATCTGTTTCCTGTCACTTGTAAAGTTTTCTAAATATTCATCCAGAGAGACACAGAAGTCACAGCAGTTTCCTGGGAGGACTGGATGTGCCATGAGTCCTCAGACACTGAACATCTGAATGGTTTTATTCCTCCCAGTTAAACAGTCTTTACAGTTAGGGTTGCAGGAAATGTTTTAGATAGAGTGATCTGAATGGCTCTCTGAAGACAGACCTGAATAACCCAAGGCAGCTAGCCAAGCAAACACTAGGGGGGAAGAGATCACAGCCACTGGGAATGCAATTGGGGAAAGACTTAAAAGCAGTACAACAGGCTTAGTGTATTCAAAGAGTAAGAAGAGCATTCTACTCTCATGTATAACTAATTAAAACAAATTTAAAAAAAAAAATTTTAAAAGAGTAAAAAGAAAACCCACTTACTGGAAGCAAATGAGCAAAAAGACTACAAAACAAGGGCTAAGAGATGAGCAGGAACTGGATGAGGCCGGGCAGAGTGGGTCCTGATGAGGAGCCTGGCTACTATTTTATTATGTCTGGGTAGTACCAGAAGAGTCTGAGCAGGGTAGATGAGTCATGGTGTGTAGATACTTCTGCTGCTCTACAGAAACCAGACTGAGAATGAGAAATGACCTAAGAACACAAGTTGAGAAACTTAGTTCATCTGGTAGAAAATGATGGTAGACATAAAGAAAGATCAAAGGCATTACTTGTGTAATGAACACAAGTGACCTCCACACTTCCAACTATTATGGTCTAACAAGAACAGGATTCACCTTCCAATCTAAAACAAAATATTCAAAACATCGATTTTAAAGACAATAAGCAGAAAATAAAGAAGGATATAAGTAGTAAACCCCCAGAGATGAAAAACAAAGAAATCTTATTAGGCGCTTCTAAATACCCTTGAATTAGACGTGATCAACTATAATATAATGAATGCTAGAAGGTAAACAAGAGAAAATCACATAATAAGGAAAAAACCTTCCATGTGAAGAGTATATTCAATTATAGCCATAGTCATGAATTGATATTAGTATTTGTCAGCACTTATCTGTGTGAAAAGACATTCTCAAAGATTAGCCAAAGCTCACACCAAAGATCATCACTAACAGATGAACAGCTGAAAGTGACTTCATGATGTGGACACTTTGACTACCAGTTAAGCTAAATGTTATCTCCCCTAAAAAAAGATTTTTTTTCATTAATAGAACTGTATTACAAAAAGAAAAAAATTTTAACATTCTCAATCATTATTTTTCTTCTGTCAATTAAAAGACATGTGGGAATTTGCCTTGTTATATAAATATCAACATAACAGTCACAATTTTTCCATTTTGTCCACAAAGCCTAACTGTGAATTCTCTGGATATTTACAGGAAAGGGGGAAAAATAAAAAAGAACTGTATGAATTCCTAATTCAGATCAATCTCAGCATTGCACTCTTTCTTCTTATTCCAAAACAAGTAAAAACCTAGATGAAGAAGTGAACATTAAACCAGATTTTCAGGGAACCTCTGGGTTTCAACAGAGCATGGACCAGATTATTCAAAGTTAATCATAAAGCATCAGAGCTTGAAGGGAACTTGAGGGACACACAGGGTTCTTTCTTTCTTTTATATGAAGGAATTGAAATGCAGAGAGGGAAAAAAAAAAAAAAAAAAAAAAAAGCCCCAGCCCAGAGTAAGTCCTTGAACTCCCACCCAGCTTTCTTCCACTTCACAAGGCTGCTCCTCTGGAGCCTTCACAGCTACTCATTCCAGAATCTCACAATAACCAAAAAAAAAAAAAAAAAAAAGCAAACCTTTGGTTCTAAAAATCCTAAGGTACAAAGGAACAACTCTAACACCCTGCCTCAGAGTGGGCTCAGATCTAGATAGAGTACCCCAGGTACTTTCACACCCCGCTTCAGATTTAGAATCTTCTCAGGTTCTTTGTGTTTCTAAGCTGAGATTGTAAGACATATATTAAACTCTTGGAAATTTTTAGAAAAAAAGTTTTCAATACCAGATGCATAAAGGCCAAGAAATATCCTGTAAAACGCATATAAAACTACTAATAAAACGTGAACTAAATTGAAGTCATTGATGAAACCACCCGAGAAGATCATACCTTGCTTGGCAGCTGAGCAGCAACATCTCACGATTATGCATCACAATATACAAAAGCACCAGGAAGGCTTTGGCTCTAATGGAAGTTGAGGGGCTGTCAAGTAGACGGATAATTGTGGAGACAAAATCCTGTGGAAGACATTTTAAAAACCTTTTTGAGAAAATGTGAAAAATCCAGGATGGTCTCAATTCCCAGAGTAAATAGATTATAATAGACAGCAAGAAATAAAGGATCAGATACTGTTTTACATTTAATTTGTTCTAGACTTCCTACTAAGTTTGATATGTATCCTCTCATTTAATCCTAAAGTTTTGCCATAAAAATTGACAGTAGTATCCCTGTTTGATAAAGAAAAAATAATCTTGAAGAGGTAAGCAACATACCCAAATTCAGAGCTGGATTTGAATCTAGACCAGCTGAGTAACAAAGCCCACCTCTTGACTCGTTAACCACACAACTCAACGTGTGGCAGTCACATCTGCATTCAGATGTCAATCTGAGCAAACCCGCACATGCAGAGATTATATCTCTAGTCCACATCTGAGATCTTAAACACAAAATGAACATTTCTTAAGACACAACAGATAGTAGAATAGCTATTGAGAGTGCTACTTGCCCTCTTAACAGGAAACTGTATTATTATTTCATGTGTACATTGATATACAAATATAACACACACACACACACACACACACACACACACACACACACATACACACACACACTGCCAATAAATAGAAGAAGCCAGAGATATAAATACTGTGTGCTTACGGAAGACTCAGGGAGCTCAATTTTTTGTTTTCCTGCCATACCTTGGTGCCTTTACACTGAATATTCTATTGCCATGTGGGAAAAATTTACAATCATAAATGTGTTTTTAAATAACAACTTAGACCCCTTTTTAACATAAAAAAAAATAGAAATAAAAAGGGTTTGGGATGTAGTAAAGTACTTCTGGGTACAATTCCCAGTACCAAACAAAACTAAAAACAAAAAATCAGAAACCTCAGGCCTTTCCTAGTTCAGATATCAAAGATATAGGGAAGATTGATTAGTGGAGCAGGAGGAGACTGAGAAGGACAGAGGAGACAGGAAACGAGAGGAAATATGGGATAAGTTTAACAAATTTTAACAAACTCACATTATATGCATATATAAATATGCCACAGGGAATTTCACTCTTTCTGTATATTTAGAAAATACCAATAAAAGACAAATTTTTTAAAAAGAGCAAAAGGAAGATTAGCAGAGAAGGAGGAGACTATGGGGAGGGAGAGGGAAGAAAACAGGGATTGAAAAATTCCTTACATGTATGATGTTTTCCAAAATGAATCCAACTGCTATATATAATGCTCTAATTTTAAAAAGAAAGGGTGTGGTACAAGAGGTAAAAAGGCAGAAAGAAAGATTCATAAATCTATTGGAGTGGAGAACATGTTCATAAACAGTTTATTTAAAGAGAAAAAGTGTGAGAGATGTGAGAAAAGGGAATGTTAAATTCCATATGGAAATAAAATGCAATAAATAAAGAACCACATAAAACTAGTGAATGTGCTTTGGTTCATTAGTAAAAAAAAAAAAATTAGTAAAGGGATAATTTTCTTGTCATAAATATCAATAGTGTACCTAAAAAATAAAAGAAACTACAAAACTAATCCCTTGAAAATTAGAACCTCTAATTTTTTTCTACATAGAATCACATTAACACATTTAAAAAACACTGCAGGCAACATTCATAAATGGCTATTTCATGGAAAGACAAAAATAATTGAGAATCTAAAGATTTCAGCTGATGAAAAGCTGGCTCTATCTGCTGTGGTCTGAATGTTTTTCTCCTCCCACAAAATTTCAAGGTTGAAATTTTCACCATGACTCTGTAAGTATTGGGACTGTAGGAAGGTGATAAGGTCTTGTGGACTGTACCCTCACAAAAGGGTCCAGTACCCCCATAAAAGAGGTGCCAGGGACCTTGTCTGCCCTTTTGACCATGAGAGGACATGTACAAGATGGCATTGTTGAGGAATACATTCTTACTACACACCATATCTGCTGGCTCATTGATCTTGGACTTCCTAGCCTCCAGAACTGTAAGCAACAATTTTCTGTTGTTCATTCATCATCCAGCCTGAGGTATTTTGGTTAGAGCATTAAAAATGATATAAGTTACCACGCATCCAAAATTTTTAAAAAAATAACCATGATGAAGCCCAGGTAAACTGTATTATCAATCTTAAGGAAACATCATTAAAGAAGCACTTATAGACATGAGAGACATCCAAGTAAATTGATTACATAAGAAAAGGAAGTTAATGTGAGCTGGGGTGGTAGCTCAGTGGTACAGCACTTGCCTAAGCATACATGAGGCACTGGGTTCAATTCCCAGCACCACATTTAAAAATAAACAAAGGTATTGTGTCCATCTACAACTAAAACATATTTTTAAAAAGAAGTTAATTGCATAGAGAGGGAAAAACAAGTGCAAAAATTCTTCAACAAAATACAAGCAAGTTGAATCCAGCAATAAATCGGAAGTCATTATGACCAAGTGGGGTATATCCCAGAAATCCAAGACCAATTCAACATTTGAAAAACCAATGTAAAACATTACATGACAGATATAAAGAGAAAATTTACATGATAACCAACTGATAATGAAAAAGTATTTGATAAAATTCAACTATTTACAATTTTTTGAAAATTTTCACAGCAAACTAGGAATAGAAGGGACCATCCTCAATCTGAAAACAGACATCTAGAAAAACTCTACAGCTAATAACACATTTCACTGAATACTTCTAGGAACTGGGAATTAAGCAATGATGTCCACTCTCCTCACCCATGATTCCGTATTTTACTGAAACCTATAGCCAATGCAACAAGGAAAAAGAATATTTTAAAGACATTGGAATTGGAATTGGAATGGAAGAAATGTTAACAGATATGACTGTAGAAAATCCCCAAGGAATACACACACAAAAAAAAAAATCCCCAACAAGTCGGATTAGTGAGACCTGGTATATTTCTGTATATTAGGAATGAGTAATTGGAAAACAGTGTTTGTAAAATAACATCTTTCAATAGCTACAACAACAAACTGGTTTAAACCTAACAAAAATAGATTCTTTTTTAGGGGGGGGAGAAATATACTAAGGATTGAAGTCAGGGGCACTTGATCACTGAGCCACATCCCCAGCCCTATTTTGTATTTTATTTAGAGACAGGGTCTCACCGAGTTGCTTAGCACCACATTTTTTTGCTGAAGCTGGCTTTGAATTCATGATCCTCCTGCCTCAGCCTCTCGCGCTGCTGGTATTATAGGCATGCGCCACACACCAGGCCAAAAATAGATTCTTTACACTGAAAATTGCATAAATATAAAAGACTGATAAAGATTTAAGGACAAACGATCTAAGTTAAAGACAGCACTTCTCCCAAAATTGACCTAAAAAATTAATGCAATTTTAATCAAAATGACAGGAGGATATTTTATACATACAGACCAGCTAACTTTAAAATATATAAAGAAAAAGGAATTAGAATTGATCAAACAATTCAGATGAGAAAAAAAATCACAATGATTTTCTGACCAAAAACTACAGTAATCCAACAATGTGGTACTCACAAAATGATAGCCATATAGTCCAAGGAAACAAGACAGTTTAGAAATAAAATCAAATAGTTTATGACAAAAGTACAAAGGCAGTTTTGAAGAAAGGATATTCTTTTCAATAAAAAATGCTGAACTTGATATTCACATGGGAAAAAAAATTAACTTCAAATTAACTAAACTTTAAACCATCTATGCAAAAATTAACCCAAAACAGACTGTATAATCAAGCAAAATGTAAAACTACGAACTCTTAAAGGAAAAAAAATGTTTATAATCTTTAATTAGGAAGAGTTCTTAGATATGAAATCCAAATCACAGTCCATAAAAGAAATAATTGACAATTAAAATTAAACTTCCTCTATGAAATCACTGTAAGATACATATGAACAGAAAATACTTGTATGAAGAACTCTCAAAATTCAGCATTAAGAAGTTTAAAATGCACAAAATATTTCAACAGATATTTCAGCAAGGATGTCAACTACCTTTTGAAAAGATGCTCAATATGCTTAATATCATGATCATTATAGTAATGCAAATTAAGATCACAATGAGATACCAGTATACATTCATTAGAATGACCAAAGTGAAAAATTATGACTGTATGGAACAATTAAAATTTTTCTACATTGTTAATGGGAGTGGAAAAATGGTACAACATTCTGGAAAATAATTCAGCCATTTAAAAACTAATATTAAAACATATACCGATATGTGTTTATTCTAATGCAATGAAAATTTATGTTTACAAAAACATACTTGTACACAAACATTAATAGCCACATTATTCATGGTAGTCACAACCTGAATGCAATACACATGTCCTTTGTGAGTATGTGATACATCCACATAATGAAATACTACTAAGCAATAATTTTTACTCTATAAAAAAAGCACAAATGAGATTCAAGTGTGTAATGTTAAGTAGAAAAAAAGTGGAGAAAGTAAATCTGTAAGGTAGGAGGGATGAAACTGGGAAAGAGTGGAATGAATCTGACCTAACTTTCCTATATGAATCCACCCCAGTGAATCTCACCATCATACCATCATATACATACACAAAACACTAATTAAACAGCAGGAAGAACAGTAGAATAAGGGAAGAAAACAGGGGGAGGGATGAGGGAAAAGGAAGGGGGAATAAACAATTACATTCCATGCTTTTATAATTATGTCAAAATGAATCCTATTATCATGTAACTAAAAGGAGCCAAAAAAAAAAAAAAACTAAGGTAGACAGGTCATCAGTAATTGCCAAAATTGGAATGGGAAAGGTTTACTAAAAAAGGAGCTGCACAAGATCATTCTTTGAGATGAGAGAATTATTCTATACCCCTCTCTGGTGCTGAAGAGAGTCTATGTAGGTTTTTTTGGTTCATTTGTTTATACTGCGGATTGAACCTCGGGGTTAACCATTTAGCCACATCCCCAGCCCCCTCCACTTTTTTTTGAGACAGGGTCTTGTTAAGTTCCTTAGGGCCTCACTAAATTGCTGAGGCTGGTTTTTAAACATTTGAT